AAAACTACAAGATGAGATTAATTCAGATAAACTCTGCAAAAAGGGAATTTGGGATTAATGACAGAACTGAAACATGGGGTGTGCACAACGTGAATCCGAGACTTCTGAGGATGAGACAGAGGCATTCCCTTATCAGTGGCAGTGATCACCAAGGCCATGGAAGAGGCTCGAGAGGGAACTGGGCTCAGGTGTCTTCAACTGCAGGAAAATGTCATCCACAATGAGAGTAACTTCAAGCTGCTGTGAATGTTGGCCACAGAGGGAAAAAATTCCCACGAGAGTCCAGAGGATGCAAGCACAATTCTGCAAATGCAGAAAGAGAATAAATCCAAGAAGTAACCAAAGATGCAGATGGAGACGCTGGCAACAGCATTAGCAGCAGCTAAGGTTGTTTTTGCCAACAAAGGAAAAAGTTAAGTATAGTAAATCAAATAAAATTAAACATGCAGCAGCAATAGATGCCCTACTTTTTTTCCTGCAAATGCCTTTTGCCATTTTTTTTCTTTTTTTTTTTTTTCCCAGAAGGTAATGAGGATTTTTGTAAATCTCAGTTGAAAGCAGAGAACCTTACTTGTATTTCTGTCTCATGGCTTGAGAATAAGCAGGCAGCACTTCAGACGGCAAATATTTTTGCAAACTAAAATGAAATCAAGAATTCTGCATCCATGGCATTCTGGCTGAAATATCCTGCAGATGACAACCAGCAGGACCAACACTACTGGCAATTTCTTTGAAGGAACCATTTGAATGGCATGACAGGCAAGGGCACCGTGTGAAAGCTTTGGAGTGTCTGTTTGTTAGAATTCTGCCAATTTGCTAAAAGCAAAGCAGTGACTTGCAGTGGGGAGCAGGAGGAGAGTTAAATTGCTTACACAGATGTATCAGAACAGTTTGCTGAGTTGCAATGCTACCAGGAATTATGAAGGAAAAAAACCCTCCGAAGGATATTCACTGTCATGTATCAGAATGGTAGCGTGTAAGTAACTTCCTGCAACATCCCAAAGAGAAATAGCTGGATCACGTCGGGAAAAGGCCTGAGGTGGGTTTCAGTGGGGGTGGAATTACATTTGATGCAATCAGAACAGTCTGAATGTCACAGAATGAAATTCTGGATCAGAAACAGTGTACTTTGGAAGAAAGTTTAGTAACTCAGAAAGGATGTTTTATGTAGAAGATGAAGAAAATCTATTTTCACATTTTCCAGGATGTGACTTACATAGTATTTTAAGATCCTGAATGAAGCTGCAGTGAGTTTTCGAGAAGGAACCCAAGACAATAATATGAATTTATACCTAGGTATAAATCAGAGAAAAGGAAAAAAAAAATTACACTTTAAAATTGTACTCCAGCAGGCATTGAACAGCACTGCCCTGGAATATCTCACACTCACACTACGAGATGGTGATAAAATTTCAAGAACTAAACTGTACAGAGATAATGGAACTAAAAAAAAATATCTCAACAGCCCATCATTAAAAGCCAGTAACTGCAAGAAACTGTAATTATTCTAAAATAAACTTGCAGGGAAGAGCTTGTCTGAAGGGCTCTTGTTAGCCATTTGTGTTCTAAAAGCTTTCAGTATTAGCATTTCACTGTCTGGTGTGCTTTTGATGGACTTTAACACATGAAGTACAGGTGCCCACCTATAGAATTGCAGCTAAAGATGAATCTGCTCTGAGGCAGCTCACCTAGAAAGACACATATTAGAACTAAACATCACTCAGAAGCACACAATTCTCTTCAATATTATTGATTGATTGATTGATTGATTGATATTTGAGCTGGAATGGTTCAAGTGGGACCCCCAATTTCTGTGAGTGTACCAGATATAGCTTAGGATGAATTTTCCAGGAGTGTCCTATGGCACCACTTGGTGCCTTAGCAAATCATGGGGTTAACTTCTCCTTGTGCCTCCTCAGAAAGGGAAATCTCAGTTCTGGTTTTGATCAGCTCTCATTCAAGTCTTGGCTATTGATTCTTGCTACAAATTCTTCCAGGTCCTACCTGACACTGGATAAGGTTGAAAATTCTCTAAGTGTGGGGGCTGGACAGCATGTCAAAGAAGCCACCCAATAATGATAATATGCCAAATATTATCACACAGTTTATATTGGTTCAAATCATTCTGTATTTACTGAGATAGCTTACCCTAAATCTGGTGTCTAGACTTCTCTATAGAACCAGTTTCTAAAATTGCTATTGGTGCATTTTTATTTAGTGGCAAATAAGCTTCTACAGTCATTAATACGTTGCATATGTAACGTATGTTGCAAACATGTACATGAAGTACAAGGTCAATTTAATCTCCTTGATACCCCTGAGGATCTGGTTTTTATAAATTTTCTTTTACTGAACCTGTTCACACCTTTTGCCTTCATAACAGGAGGTGAGAGCTTGTAATATTCCATCTTACCAGAGGACACAAGAACAAATATAAAGCAGTTTTGAGAATTAAGTCAGTCCTTCACCCATCTCCATTCCATCGAAGATCTTGACAAACCTCTAGCAAATTCAGCATGAAGTTTTTTTTCTTCTGAGCTCAAGATCCCCAGTGTATTAATCCTCTTCTTGTGTGAGAATTGAACCAAGCCATCTTATTTTTTGGCTTTCTCTGTATTCTCTAAATACAGTCCATACCAAATTACCCTGAGTTAGAGATAAGGAAGGATGCACAATGGATTTGTACAATGGTATGATGATGATTCCTGTTTATTTGCTATTCCTTTCCTAACCTTGGCATCCTCTTCTCTTTCTGCCATGAGGTGCTGGAGAGGCTTTAATGCCATTCCTTCTCAGTATTTCCTACATATCAGTCCTATCAGTGCTCCTTTAAAGTGAGACAATCTCATCTCTTCGACCAAGTTTTTCAACTTCCAGCACTTGCACAGAAGAACACCAGTTTTGCTCCTATTCCAGTCATCTATTTTTGTGAGGTCTGCTTAGTCAGGATATTGTTTAGGTGTTTCTTTGCTATTTTCTGTCTAAATCCAATCAATTTCTGTCCTTTTCTAAGATTTATAGCTTTTGGTTTTCAACTCCAGTTCCTCTCTCATGTGAAGTTCTTTCTTACTAGTCATTTACAGGGCAGCTGTAATTCTCTTACAGGGTCATGACAGAACTACAACCTCCTTATTCATTTAATTATTTCAGTGGCAAAATTATCATATTTGTTTAACCCTGACAGTAGATCTGGGAAGGCTTTAGAAAATGCTCTTATAACCTTTCTTTTCCCGTCCTTCCCATTTTGGCAGTATTCATACATATTCATTCACTTGTACTGCAAAATCTGGAACCCATTAAAACTTATATTTTAAACTTGTTTAAGTGCTGTTAGATCCTCTCTGATGTTAAGCATTCCCTACAATGCTGAGCTTAGCTACTGACTGTGGAAGACTTTCCCTTGCCATAATTTGAAAACTTTAAAAGTATCCAATAGGTTAAAGTTGTACCATGAGACAGAGATAAAGCAGGTTGAAAAATACAACACGAATACTTGCTTGTTCTGTTTCATAACAAAGGGAACAAGATATCTCTGTCTCAGCCTACTCCAGCCCCAGGGACGTTGAACTTGGGGAAAATCCCAAGAGTTTTATCAACTGCTATAACCATGAGGGATGTGCCAAGCTTGGGAGGGAGCCGGTAGGTGCCTCACTGGAGATGTGGGAAGTGTTACAGTTCACACACTTAAAGCACTGCTGGGCACCTTCAACACACACAGGTATTTTTTACTCATTAGCTCTTTTCAAGGCGTGAGGTTGCAGATAGGAACCTGGGCCTCAGTAAAACGTGCTCCTATGAAGAGGGTGGTTTTATAGCAGTGTACATATTGGCTTGTAACACATTAAATGCAGAGATAACTGAGGAGAATCATAGAATGGTTTGGATTGGAAGGGACTTTAAAGACCATCCCATTCCAACCCCCTGAAATGGGGAGGGTCAGCTTCTACTAGACCAGGTTGCTCCAAGCCCCATCCAACTTGGCCTTGAACGCTTCCAGGGATGGGGCAGCTTCAGCTTCTCTGGGCAACCTGTGCCAGGGCCTCACCACCCTCGCAGCAAAGAAATTGCTCCTCACACACAATCTAAACCTACCCTCTTTCAATTTGAAGCCATTCCCCCTTGTCCTGCCACTCCATTCTCTTGTCCCTCCCCATCTTTCTTGCGGACTCCCTTCAGGTGCCGGAAGGAGGTTTGATCACAAAGCAAAGGAACAGAAGTGGAGCTCGTTTCACTTGGGACTCAGAAACGCCCCAGTGGCACAGGGGGACCAGGTAACACACGTGGCTGTGTCTCCAGGCAGCTTTCAGGCACCAGAGGCAGCCCCGTGGGCACTGCCCCGGGAGAGAAAGGGGAGCACTAGAACCTTCCGCGGCAGTTGGGGGGTGACAGCTGGGAGTGACAGTTGGGGAGGGCAGGGACAGTTGGGGAGGGCAGGTTGGGCGAGGAGAGCACTGCAAAGCCCGAGGAAGGCAGAGGCAAACGGGCAGCAAAGGAAATCGAACCAAAAAATTCAGAAAACTTGGCTTAAAGGAGCGCCTGGGGCCTGAAGGCAAGTTAAGACGCTGGGGGAGGGGAGCAAAGTAGGAACAAAACCGTGAATTGGGAATCAGTGAGAGCAGTGTTGTGCTGGGAGGAGGCAGCTCTCCAGCTGCCGAGGAGAGCAAGCTCCTACTTATCTTGCCATGTTGACTAGAGAAGCAGACTTCAAATGACGCAGTGTCTATAAACAGAGAGGAAGAATTAGTTCCCATTCTGGTAGTTGTGTCTATGACCCTAAAACGCTTACACCCCCCCCATCCCCGCCCCCCCACACCAGGAATTCAGATCCTGAGGGCACTGACAGTGCTATCACAGAGCTGATGCGAGGAGGAGCAGGAGGCAAGGAGGAACAAGCACTTGCTTATTATTGCAGAAACTTGGTACGGCGACTAAAAACGTCGCCCAAGAGCCGGACATGCCGCTCCTCCCCAGAATGTAGAACACATGAATCAGGAGTCAAGTGCAGGGTAAACAGACTTAAGTAGAAATGCTTTCTTGTTAGGTGTGAATTTCATTCAAAAGTAAACAACAAAAAAAAATAAAATCACAGATTGTGCCGTTTCAATCACGCTGATGGAGCAGGACAGTTACTTTGATGTGGTGTTCCACTGTGTTCATTTTTGTTAAAAGATGTATCAGAAAAGCCTTGTTCACATGCTGATTTGCCTCTTCAAACAGCTCTGCTGCTTCCTCCATAACGCTTTCTCTTTCTGGTCTTTTTCCTGCCGGTCTGAATAATTAGTTCTCTGGGGAGAGCAAGTCTTTTCTTGCTTACTGGTATTGGAACAGGGAATATCTGAACTAATCCCATGGTACCCCCGATAATGCTCCTTTTGACATATCGGAGATCCTTTATGGAGCATTATGTGACCCTTCCTCTAGACAAATACATGTCAGATGTGCCATGTGAGACGTTTACAAGCTCCAGCCAGATCCATTTATGTTTATCACTCAGCAGGGCAGGACTTCCACAGGGGTATCTCTGTAGCAATCCCGTTTGATAAGCTGCTATGTAGGGAGCAGAATGCCAGTGTGGATGAGAGCTCCGCACTCCTGCCTGGGTGGCCATAACAGATGGTCTATAGTGGAACTTCAATCACACACACAAAAAAACGTGAAGTGGCACAAATCTGAGTCACTGGCACAAACATCTCTGTTTTGGAGGACTCTTGACTGCTGTTCTGAGTGTCTGGGTGCTAAACAGCGCAGTGCCGAACTGGCAAGGAGCTGGCCCTCAAAATTCCTCTCCAGTTATTTTTTAAAAAGCCCTTTTGTGAGAGAGTAAGGCAGTGCCACTTTTGAAAAGGATAGGCTTGTCTTGTACCTTCGACAGCAGTGGAGAAACACGGATCAAAAGAACTTATTATTGCTTGTAAGTCTCCAGGAAGGGCTGCAGGTACTGACTGTGCACATATTTTCATCTATATGCCCACACACTTGTATGGGAGATGTTGGTCATGTGAACTTTATCTGATGAAAGTCAATTTTTATTCTTGCAAATTGGTATTATATGTATTTATACAAACACATATACAAACATATAGAGATACACATCTATGTAAAACACCTGTTGTACTTAGTTCTTCTCCATCTGTCCTTGGAATTCACTTATCCATTTTTTCTAAAGTAGCAATTTTTACAAAATGCAGACCATACAGAGAATAGGAGAAGGACAAGTTCCCCTTTGAAATATCAGCAGTTTTACATTCATATCTTATATTGTGCTCTTAAATCTCCTCACAGATGAGGACTTCACAGATTAAAGGAGGAAAAAGAAAGCGATCTGGAAATAAGTGGGAAGCCTACTCTGCAAAATCTGATGGCCAAGCGAAACAGAAAAGGTAAGATTTCTGTTTATTCACTGACAAAGCCTGTATTTTTCTCGAATTGTTACCATCCAAACATCAACTGATGTAAAACACATCATAGAAATGCTTTACACAAGCAAAATGGACCAAACATACCACATGATGACCATCTAAGAAATAAACTAGCGGAATGCATTATTTACCAGCTTGCTCAGCTGTACTGAAGAACTAATTCTGTAGCTGTTACACGAAGGCAGAATGAGGAGTAAAAACCTCTGTGTGCACAGGACTTGGACAGCAGTGTTGATTTTTATCCCTTCTGTGGCACTTATTTGAATAGATACCCACATCATAGGCTTCAATTTTAGATTTTTAGTGTTTTACAAAGACGGATTTCTTCTCATACTGGGAAGAGTGAAGTACAATCATGTAAAATGACTTGCTCAACTGCACCTGAAGTGCCAGTGTAGCCATCAGGCTGTGCTAGAACTTCCCTTCTGCAGAGTATGCTGGCAATAACTTTCCGAGCTGCTCATTGCACTGTTCACATCAAAAGCAGCACACAGGACAGTGAACAAAACTGAGAATGAAAGTATGTCACTGACAAAACACAACTAACAGAATTAAGTGCATATAACAGCAAAACATGTTTGTCTGCAAGGTTCTGTCCCTCACTGATGGGAAGTTACACTGTTTCCACCATATTTTACCTTTTATTGGTATAACACCACCCTGTCCTTGACCTACATTCTTCATTATCAATTCTTGCTAACACTTACATTATTTTAGCTGCTTTAGTTTAAGTGAATTTCAAGTTTAAAATATTTAAAAACATGTACAAATCTCTCTTCTAAACTTAGTTACACAACCTTTCTGTAACCACGGCACAGTTCAATCTAAGTTCTGCTTTTTCAAATACAATTCTTGCGAGAAATGCAATCAATTTACAAAGGATGGCAAATTCTACAGTTTTCTGACTTAACATCATGTGGAATTTTATTCCAAAATGTGTTTTGACTGCTTGATTATCCAGCAATAAAACTGAAGGCATAGCATTAGGGCCGCTGCAGGAAGTAATTTCTCAAGCAGCATTACTGTCTACTTGAGGGAGAAATAACTGGCTTGGTAGGTCAGCAGAAATGGATGCGGGGGTAAGACAGGTCAGCAAGACTGTGGATAGATCAGACTGACTCCCAAGTATTTGTGTTGGCACATGTACACAGGAATGTGGTCTGTGACAGGCAGGACAGCAGATGCTGGCACTGTTGAGGCCTCAGTTGTAGCAGTGTCCAGGCTTGGGTGCTACACTTCAAAAAAAAAGATGTGAATGATTTTGAGACAACACAGAGCCAAGAAATAAGCATCTTAAGAGGTTTAAAGATGTGTCACACAAGGAAGGATTGACATGAACTGACATCGCTTTGTCTATGGGTAAAAAAATTTAGGGGAGGTCTATTTCTTAACATATGAAGAGATATTTTGAGAGATGAGAGGCAAAACTGCTCACATCTATCAGTTATACTTCAGTGGCCGTGAGCTTTTAGCTAGTGCTTCAGGTTCCTCAACGTGAGCTGGACCAGGGAACTTAGCTGCCTGAAAATTAGCAATTTTGAAAGTAGTTTGACAACAGCTCGCATCACTTTAAATCGAGTCTGACACAGTCCCACGCCCTCCGTTATGCCAAAAGCTGAGTCAAGAAGCTGAGTGGGACAACTACTAGGTATCCTTTGCAGGATTAGTAACGTTGAGAGGGTTCTGTACCTGCACTAAAAGGAGGGATGTGACTTATCCACCAAAGCAACCAGCTCTCAAACTGTCCTCGAGCTCATTTCCTAAAAAATAACCAAACAAACTGTACCTCAGAGGGATTTGGCCATATCAACACAGGAGGGCTGCTGCTCATATAAGTCACCTTTTTTTTTTTTTTTTGTGCCAGAAATACAGGAGAAACAGTGGAGAGTATTTTCAAGTGCAATAGCCATATTAACACCATTACAGAATCACAGGATCAATTATGCTGGAAAAGCACCTCTGAGATCATCGAGTCCAATCTTTGACCCAACACTACCGTGTTAAACCAGACTATGGCCCTGAGTGCCAGGTCCAGTCTTTCCTTAAACACCTCCAGGCATGGTGACTCCACCATTGCCCTGGGCAGCCCATTCCAATGCCTAATCACCCTTTCTCTGAAGAAATGCTTCCTAATGTCCAACCTAAACCTCCCCTGCTGCAGCTTAAGACTGTGTCCTCTTGTCCTGTCACTTGTTACATGTCAGCTCTCACCTGGCTATATCCTCCTTTCAAGGAGTTGTAGAGAGTAATAAGGTTCCCCCTGAGCCTCCTTTTCTCTAGGCTGAACAACCCCAGCTCCCTCAGCCGCTCCTCAAAGATGTTCTCTAATCCCTTCACCAGCTCCATTGCCGTAGCCATCCGCTATATTTTGGGGAAAACAAACGAACCAACCAACTGGGACCCAAAACAAAACCATCAAACACCAAAGCCATCAGCTAGATAAGTTTAAAACAAAAATTTATGACATTTTAACCATACTATCCACAAGCAGTGGTTGTGCCGGTCCCTGGTTCCAAGTCTATAAAAATACACTTGGTTGGGGGGGGGGAAATAAAAAAGGGTGGTGCAGACAGCGTTCACACGCTGGGCTGAGAAACCCAAGGGTGCAGAGAGGAGAGGAGGTGCAGCCGCTGCTTCCCACTGCGGAGCCAAGGAGGGAACTGCGGCCGTGCCCGCAGCGGGTCCCTCCGGCCGGACCCGGCGCGGCCCCTCGCCCGCCGCCCTCCCCGGGAAGGGGCTCCCACGGGGGGCTTTACCTCAGCCTTAGCGGGGTTTTCCCTCAGCAGCGCCGGGTTTTACCGCTCAGCCGAGGGGGGCCCCGCCGCTCGCCCGGGCGAAGGATGCGAGGGACCCGCGGGGCCGCGGGAGCGGCGGGGCCGCGCCGCTGCCGGGGGAGGGGGCGGCCCTTTCCCGGCGGTCCCGGCGGCCAAGGCGGCTCCGGGCGCCACTGAGGCGGCGCGTCCCGGCGGCGGCTCCGGTGGGCGGTCGGGGGCGGTCCGCGGGCGGGGGGCGGTGGCAGCAGCGCGCTCGGTTGTGAGCGAGCGAGTGCGTGCGAGCGAGTGCCATGGCCGGAGCCCGCTGAGAGCCACAATAGGAGCGCGACCCCGACGCCCACCGGGACCCTCCGCTCGCTCTTCTTCCCCCGCGCCAGCGCCGCCGGCGGAACCCGCGCTCCCGCCCTGCCCGGCACTGCCCCCCCCTTCTCAGCGCCCGCCGCTCCCCCTCGGCTCGGCTCGGCTCGGCTCTGCTCGGCGGCTCCCCCCCCACCACCCCACACCACCCCGCCTCGCAGGGCCCTTCTCCGGGAATGTGAAGAGGCAGCGGCACCGCAGGCAGCGGGGAGTGCACGGGACTGAGCGGAGCCGCCCGCGCCTGAACCCGCCGCCGACGCCGCCCTGCGCCGGGGAGGCCCCGCCGCCGCCGAGGCCGAGGCCTACAGGGCTCCTGCGCCGCCGCGGCAGCGACCGAGCCCGGCGAGAACCGCACTCGGGCCGCCGCCGCCGCCAGGCATCGGCCGCGCTCCGCCAAGGCCGCCGCCGCCTCCCTCCGTCTCCGGCTTCTCTACCCGGGAGCGTCAAGGTAACTCCATGGCCGGCCCGGCGGTGCGGGAGGAGGGCTGCGGGAGGACATGTTCCAGCTGCGGAGATCCCGTCTGGAAATGACAGCCGGGAGCGGATAATTGCGCCTCTGCTCCCTTTTGCCCGCCGATATCCGTCGGTATTTTCGCGTCTCCCACCGTCCCCCCACCCCTTCCCCTCCCCGGGGCTGAGGGATCTGATGAGCGTGGCTTCGTTATTTACCAAAATACTCGGGGAATGAAGCGGAGGAAGCGGGGAGCGGGTGGCCGGGTTTGCAGCTTTTCCCCCTCGCACACAATAAATAATCTCGGGCTTTATTCCCCCCCCCTCCTCCCTTCCCCCCCCGCCACTCTTGGTGGAAACAGAGTATTTCCCTGTGATAGTGTATGCAGGGCAGCGAATGTTCATTTGGGGAGACGAAAAGGAAGATCAGTGTTTACTGTAACGTTGTTAGGCTGGATGGAGTCTTGTTGAATTAGAATTAGATTTTAATAATTTATAAAGCAGGTTAGGGAAACTGTTACTAAATTTACAGCGGAGAAGTGTCAGTAAAGCTCCTTGCTGACACAATGATCCTGCAGTTTAAGTGATCTACTTTAGTCCCTGTCCATTATTATTATTTCTTTTTTTTTTTTTTTTTAAATTTAATTTGGAGGGATCGTGCAAACATTTCTGCAGGGATGGTTACACTTTAATGATGCACGTGATGAGGAGGGGAAGCTTTCTGATGAGATGAAATAGGGCCAAACCGATTCAGGTTTAGGGAATATATTTTTTGCTGATATTTCCAGAATTTGGTTTATGTAACAGGTAACTTTGTGTTTGTATGTTTTTTGGCGGACTGTTGAAATCCTAGAAGTGGGTTGCTAAAGTACAGGCCATTCTATTTCAGTTTATCTGACTTTTTTTATTTATTAATCTTGGCTGGGGCCTCAATGCCCTGGTGATGGTGGCATTTTTTTTTTCCGCCCAGATGATAAACAAGACCAGTTTAAGGTACGGGTTCATGTTGCTGATAGTATATTATATTTAGAAAGCCTAAGCTGGTAGTGAAAGAATACCTCAGGAGAAATCAAAAAGATGGAATGAGGTTTTTTCATTATTGTAATGCCAGCTGCACAGTTCAGCTCCTGAGTGCTGCACATGCTTCCTCGAGGAAGCTATGGAGTTTATACTCCCATTTTTCATAGGTTTAGTGCACCTATATGTGATTCTGCATTAGGCAGTTCTTATCTTTCAGACCTTGTTTACATTGTTGCAACAAATCATGCTTTCGAAAGCTTTTCTTACAAAAGACAAGCCCAAATAATGTCTGTTTCAGGGGGATTTAGTAATTTATGAAGCCTGTGAGTAATCAAATATTTTAATAAAAATAAGTACTCGAAAGTGTTCTCTATGTCGTGGAATCAACTTCTTGTAGCAAAGGAGTCACTTTGGTAATTGAAGTCAACAGACATTGAGGATGAGTAATGCTTTCCAAGGACACGTTCTAAGACCCTGATCCTGCAAATGCTTACGCCGATGCTTAACTTTGCACGAGTGTGTGGCCTGGCTGAAATCAAGGGAGCTGCTCTCGCTAATGATCGTGTCATTAATGCAGATGGGGCTGCTGATTTCAGGGGAGCTGCACACGCTGGTGAAGTTAACTGTGCACAGAGCTGCTTGAAACATGTAGGCCTGAACTCCTCCTGTCTCGTTTCTGTTGAGTATTACTCATGTATTTCATCAAGATCTGGTGAGCCTTTCTAACACACAGGACAAGACTGGTAAATACAATAGGTGAATGCATTAATTCACTGTTTAAATGTTTCCCAGTAGTATGGAATCAGCTACAGGAGTACTACCGAGGCAAGTTGTATAGGAAGATGCAGTGTTTATTGCTTACACCAGCTGAAGTTGGGAAACAAACAAACTTTTGCTTGCAGAAGCCTTTTTTGGCTCTCTGCCTCTCCCTGCAAACCTTGTCTGGCTTCTGCCCTCAGAACAGCTACAGCTACCACACTGCTGGTCCTACAGAAATGCCAGAATGGGGAATAACTACACGTAAAGAGACTCACAGGAAAATAACTGAGTATTTCTAAAATGGAGAATAAAGAAGTGATGTGTAGAATTTGTCAGGGAGCTAGTGAAATTGTGAAGCATAGCAGTACTTTCTGCTATACTTTCTTACCTTTCTATAAAATCTTGAATGCGGGTGTGGGAAACAAATGGAATTTTTCATCTGTCCTATTTTTTTTTTTTTTGTTGTTTGGTCATATGCATATTGGTGACTTTAATGCCAAAAAAACATTTGTACCTTTTTGTGTACCCATTCTTTAGCATACATGGTCCCTTGCAGAGTGAGCTGAAATTACTTCATCCCAAAGAATACAAAGGTTAAAGCTACAATCCTATGTCAGGTCTATAGGTGTGTGAATTCTGTTGACATAATGATGTCAGCATTAGATCTGAATTTTTCCCGTTGCAGGATTTTTGGCAAATGGGAGACACAGATAAAAAAGTGAGCAAGAGGAATTATTACACTAACGATTAAGCTCCATTGAGTTTATTCCATACAATGTATAAATGTTTCGGTGGGTTAAATCTCTTAAGCAGTTTAGGTGGGTGAGTTGTCAGCAGGAGAGTGGTGCAGAAAGAAGATATTTGGGAAGTTTAGGCTAATCTTTACCCATTTCACTCATTTGGAATATATTTGTAACCTTTGTTTTCCTTCAGTAGGGATATGTCCTCAGCACCAACTACTCCTCCATCAGTGGATAAAGTAGACGGATTTTCTCGGAAGTCCGTCAGAAAAGCCAGACAGAAGAGGTCACAAAGCTCCTCCCAGTTTAGGTCTCAGGGCAAGCCTATCGAGTTAACTCCCCTGCCTCTGCTAAAAGGTAAGATCAAATACGGGTTTTAATAAATAAAACAATTTTACCCTACAGCCAACTCCTGAACTCAAAAGTATTCTGTTGTAAGAAATTGCAGGGAAGTTTTGCCAGCACTGAGAAATGTTTCATGCCAGATAAATATGTATTTAAGCTTTACAGAATATTTTATCTGTGACTTGAGGGCGTGGTAATTGTTTGCAATACTTTTGAAAGTTTGAAGTGCTGATGTTAATCCATACCATGACTTGAATTGTCAAGGCACTCAGGCTATGTGTGAGAGTGTTTTAGTTTGTGCATCCTCAGCAGTTGACACTAATGTCAACAATAATAAGTTGACACTAATTTTGGAAAGGATAAATGAACTTGTGAACAAGAGTTTAACTGGGTTTTGGTATCTTTCCTTGAAGTGTGGATCTGTAACCTGTGACAGTGGTGCCAGCTGCAGCCCACAGGGGTATTTTGGTTGTCCTGCAGCATGTGAGGAGGTGGGACCCCCTCTCATACCACTTGTGGATGGATAGCTCCCAGCTCCTGGCTTCTGCTGGGTTTTGAAATCAAAAGGTCCCATGAGCTGCAACCTCTCAAGGGGAAAGATGCTGCCAGTCTAGTCTTAGGCAAGACCCTGCTGTTTTGAGATCCTGCATGTCCCAGCTCCAGCTGAATTTCTGCTGGCAGATTTCACCTCTGATTTGAGAAAGAAAATTATGATCCAGCATACTACTCTTAAAGAATGCCAATATCTCTGTGATGTCTTGAATGCTTGCTTCCCTAAATCCCAACTGTCACCTAATTTCAGTACAAATCCAGGGGCCAAAAGCACCTCTCAGAATTAATGTCTGTCTTGTGAGGAAGGGGAAATACCCTTTCAGAAGTCTTTAACATTGAATTCTCAAGCAGTTTATTTACTTCTGTGGATTTTTTTTTTAATGGCTATTCTTCATTTCTGCTATAAGTAGTGAAAATAAGCATGGTTGGTGCTGATAATTCTGGAAAATAGCATGTTTAATAGGTTTAATATTATGTCTGTCCCTTCTTTTGCTTTGTGGGCAAGTATATTTCCCACATTCCCTCATCTACCTGTTTGACAAATTTGTTAATCAGTGTATTGAAATACGTAATAAATGTGTGACTGCACTTTGGTTTAGTTCTTAACCCAACTTCTTCATAAGAAGATAGAAGTTGCAAAATAAAACCAAACCTGAAACCAACACCCACAAAAGCACTCATACCTTAATGAGTGTTTTTTAGTTGAATTAAAAGTAGGATTCTGGGATTAATTCCAGTGGAGTTATCCTGGAAATATCATGGGCTTCTTCCTGTAGGCTCTCTGTAAGAGTGCACAAATGGCCCTCCTGGGTCAAAGGAACGGTCCATCCAACCTCCTGCACTGGGCCTGATGGTGACTGGCTTGGATTCAGTATTTCTTATTTTATGGTTGGTTGGTACTAGTGGATTTGATTTTGTAGTCTGCAATGAATATTATTTGTGATTCTTTGGGTGGTCCCGTGCAGGGCCAGGAGTTGGAATTTGAAGATCCTTGTGGGTTCTTTCCAGCTCAGGATATTCTATGATTCTATGAAATTTTCTTGCTGTTTTGTGACAAGTATGATGAAGAAGCTTCTTCAAAATAATTTTAAAGCTCAGTTTTACGCTTCTGCAGGTAATTTTTGATAGGCAGGTTACTTCATACCAGTTGCTGCCCCTCAGAGTTTATCCTTCGGCTTAAAGGAGGGGATTATTTGAAAACATCGATATCGGTGTTTGTATAAATGAAGAAACTGGTGCTCTAATTATGTCATTCTATTTTGTTGTCCCACTCAGGGAGCAAACAGGGCATGGGCACAAGCACAGGGAAGACTCAGCCTGTGTCTGAGGACCTGGCCTTGCAGAAACACGGGCTCACGCAGGTGCTTAATTGACTGCTGCAGCCAGTCCCGTGGATTGAGATATAAAACTATAATAAGATAAAACAAACAGATGGGGAGCAGAGAGTGTTGGTGAGACATTTATGATTAGTGTCACGATGAGTTACAGTGGTCCAGCTTCAAATTAAGAATCTGATCCTGTGAGTTAGTTTTCCCTCCTTGCCTTAATGCGGATTCCCAGAGGCGCAGGGATCTACCTGGGCAGATTAATTTGTGGGATTTGGGTCTAACAGTCTATCTGAAACAACAACAGTGGTATTGGGCCCTGCTGAAGGGACACTGGCAGCTAAAATCATGCTCCTGTTTGGAAATATTCTTGACCTACATTAATATTTGTAACATTCAGAATTATTAAACCTGAAATAAGTGAGGGAACTATTTTATCCTACATTTTTCATACTTTACTTGGCCGGTTGCATGAAAGTCCTGATTTTTTTAATAACTCTTAGGTTTATACTTACCTTCAAATAAGTGACCAGTCCTATTCTGTCCAGTAGCCATATGATTTCCAGTTTTATCCTTACTGTTCTGTCTTTTAAACCAAAATAAATAAGAGATTTCAGAAAACAGCTGAAAAATGAAGCTTAGTTTGGACATCTACAGTTGCTAAGCTTGAGCTTAAGCTTCCTGGTTTGGGTAAATTTCAAGTTTAATTAAACCTCTTCAGAAATGTTTCAGTACAGGAAATTTTTAGAGGACAGTCCTCGAATTCATATTCATCAGATGTATTTCATATCCATGATGGAGAGGTTTTGCTGACGAAAACATACATGCTGTGCACCCTTCTATATTTTATTTTATGGCTCTATTGCATATTGACATTGGCAGGCTGCCTTATCTCAAGCAGCACTTCATGGACCTCGGCATCTTCTCTGGTTACAAGAATCATGTATGCAGAAAACTGGATAACTGCTTGGTCCATTCTTTGCAAGTTTTTATACTCTGCCTGTCACCATAATGATCTGAGCACCTTCCAGTAGTGTATTAAGTGACGTGACTACACATCTGTCACATCTTATCTGCTCTCCTTCCTTTCCCCGGGGACAGAGTGAAATGGCTTGTTTTGGTAGTGTTTTAATGCAGTCTGTTGCCTTCTGTGAACATGCATGCCTGTATTGCAAAAACAGATAAGTCAGTGTTGTTGTTGTTGTTCATTTGGTAATAGAAGTGTTTCAGGAAAGAAAAGTAGAAGAGAACGGTGTGTTTTGATGCTGTGTGCAAGTCTGAAGGATAAGCTATTTAGGAAATGTAATAAGAGCAGCTGGAATTTTCATTATTGCTTATTCCAGAAAAAGAAAGTATAGAGAAATTAGGTTGTTAACTTTTTTTTTTCTTTTTTTAAAGTGTGTGTATGGTATCACTTTGTAAATAAACATTTAATGTATTTAGAAAATAAGATGTGCCTTCTGTGGCTTTGTTAGGCTGAGGTTAGGCTTTCAAAAGCCCCAACCCAAAAAGCTGCTCTGTCTGCCTACAGTAAAGACCTAACTTTTCTGAACATTTAATTATATTTTTATTTATTGTGTTATGACTAGATCTAATTTGGAGTTACCTTTTTTAATACAACTATTGTCCAGTATAACACTTTAAACCCAGCCTTTTCTCCTTTGTTTCAAGTGTGGGGGAATGGGATGAGAAATACAAATTGAAGTTTTGATACAATTGCTTTTTGCATATATGTAGTCTTATGTATGTGTCTAACATGCATTTTTTGATGTTTTCATGCTTTTCCCTGGTGTATCTTGCAGTGCTTTATGGATTTTGGCTTTACTTTTGAAAAGGCTGATAGTATCATCAAACCTGGCAGGTGCCTCAGGTCCTGGTGAAGGGCCCTTTTTTGGGATTGAGTACTTCTACCTCTGTGCTTTAGTCAAATCCCTCCCAAGTTTGTTATCCAAGTTTGCTGTGTGCCTGAAATCGTGCTTGTTCTGTAGAGGAAGACAGGATTGTGGGTGCATTGGATAGGTGTATTATTTATTGGATGGGTGTATTATTTATTGGAGGGCTATTTTACTTTCATTTTGTATAGCTGCTCTTTTTCCTTAGAAGTCTCTAGAGGTGGATCACCAGCAGTGCAATGTTAGAAAGCATTTGGGTGGAAAAAAAGGGTATTGTAGCACTGGACATGTGAAAACAGATCAATGTCAGTATTTACCTGCTAAAAGGGGAAGTTAATATGTGTTTCTACCCATGTTTGTTGTGGTAGGGGAGTGTGCAGAGGATGAAGACATACACACAGGTGATTAAAAAACATCATATACCTTATGAATACACATTGAACATCTTGAGAAATTGGAGAGAAAACTCTCATGTGACTCACAGTATTGTTCCCACCCCCTGGCCCTCACTACAAATACAGAAGTTGGGTGAAGTAAACCTTCTAAGAGTAAGACTTAAATTTTAAATAGTTTGTATCTCATTTTTGTAATTTCAAGGTGTGCTTCTTTATTCCCCCCCCTTCCATGTTTTGCAGTGATCTGATATAATTAGGGTAGCTTAATTTCGTGTTCTCTGCAACTATTGTATGTTTTCAATGAATACAACTCAAAGTATGATTTTTATTTTTAGATAATTTTTCTCCTTAAAATACGCGCTCAGAGCATAAGTTCTCTGTCAACAATACCAATTGCTTTGCTACCTCAATATTATGAAATTTGTTGAGCTTCTAATACATTTATCAGATAGTTTCCATGGCATTAAAGAATTGGTGTAGTGGCAACAAAAGAGCGTTGCATAGTCGAAAAGGGAAAATCTCTTTCCACTTGCTATTTGCTTTTGATCATTATATTATTTCCCTATAGCTGAGATTTTATCATAAGCTTTTCTTATGAATCCTGTCTATAGGTCAAACGCTGAAGTTCCTAAATAGTAAAAAAATCCTAACAATTCCAAAACTCTTGACTGAGAACTGCAAGAAGGGCACCTTCTTGTTCAAATATAGGTTTCTTTTGAATTTTTAAAAGACCCCGTTATCATAAAAAAGTCTGACTCTTTCAGACTTATGGATGCCACCTAGAACTCCTCATATGGGAAGCAAGTATGATTTGAGTTGTAGAAGGAGAAAGACAGAGCTTCTGTTTT